TTTTATTTTATATTTTTATATTATATTATTTTTTATATTATTTTTTTAATCTGTATATTAATGTGGTTTAATGTGGTTTACTCAAGTTTAAGGTGAAGAAAAAAATTTTAATACATACGGTGATCAGTGTTTATTTTGCTGTCATGATAAACCAGCCTGATCAAGGTTATTGTAAAGTAAATAACACGTTGCAGGCGAACAACATTATCAATCTATTTTTGCATGGTGCGCCGATCTCCATAATCACAGTAGCTATTGGTATTTTGGATTCGACAACCGTCAAAAAGAGGAGTTTTTAATTTTTTTAAATAAAATTAATTAGGAGGATAAATCAATAGCCCAAATCAACTTTATCACTGCCGACTGGTTTTCAATTTTGGAACCTTTCAAGCATTTACCTCTAACGGCAAATTCAATCAATTCCAATCAATGGCAAATATAGCACTTTCTTCTGCAATGCTTGATTGTTATTATTTAACGTTTTAAAACCTGTTGAATCAAATCTTTATATTGAATTTATTTACGTCATAATTTTTATTCGTTGCATTAATTGTGATTCTTGTGGTTCACATATTATTTCAAAATTTCTATTCCCATAAAATGACATCTGTAATAAAAAAGATCGTGGGCCATTATAAAGAGGAACTAACCCTCTTCCTAAAACTAATCGATAGTCTAAACATTACTGATCGCTCTAAGGATGAATCTAAGCCCCGATTTTCCCATGTATCAAAGATTTGCTACCTCGAAGGCCGACATTTTTCAAAGCAGTGTTGACCAAGGCGAAGAGTTAACCTCCCCATATCGTGATTTCCAATGAATCCGATTCCAAAGAACTGGGTAAAGGAAAAATAAAATTATTCACAATTAAAAGCAAAAATTACAATTATTAGACACATCAATAAAACATTTCAAACTTGAAGTTGAAAAATCCTTCCTTCCCTCTCAATTTCTTCTTCCTCAATCCCAGCAAAATATTCAAGCAGAGGAATTTCTGAAATTACAATTATTTCGTTTTAATGAAACCGTTCAACATTTGGTCCTCATTCAGAGACAGTTTGACAATTTTTTTCTTCAATTGATTCAGGCAATCTACAACCAGTCGATAAAACTAAATATTTGATGTCGTGCCTGGATGGAGAGGAAAACGACTGGTTGAAGGCTTCCCCAATCGACCAATCTTGTAAATAAGTTTGGAAAATCTTGAGGATCGATACGGTAATTCATAAATGATTTTCGCAACACTCAATTATAAATTAGAGCAGTTGTCAAGAATCACGACTTTCGATTATTTAGAGCAAACATTGAAAGAATCTTGAGACATATGGCAAATCTTGGCGAAGATGTTAATAATACTTCCATTTTTATTAAAGATAGATTGGCACCAAAATGGCAAAAAGAATCGCTCAGGAAAAAATAAATCATCATCATCAATGGAATCTTCAAAATCTTCGTCAAATCTTGGAGATATGACAAAAAGAAGAAATTAAATCTCAACAGATGTCCTCACGAATAACCAGAAAAAACGAAACCACTCTAATTTCATGGCTTTCAACAACAATGGCCGTAGCAGTCCACAGTTTAAAATTTTCACTTTCGCCCAGTCATTTTTTCCTATCCAAAACTGCTGTTAAATCAACCTCTTGAATGTTCTGCTCTTCTTTATAAATCTATCATCAGAAAATGTGAGAAGAATCACTGGAAAATTAACTATTATTTATTTAAGTTCCAATGGGAGGATCAATTTTTTTCTTCGTCCAATATGGTTATGCAATCAAATATAGCACATGAAATAACTAATAGTTTCCTGTATCATATTCTATTCTATTCTAATTATTACCATATCGCCGCCATTCCCTATTTTAGTTTTTGTCCTCTAAGGCCCGCAAAATTTTGCCTTCTTAATCCAAGATTCAAACAATAAAAATTCCTTATTCCGAAAGCCCGAAAATTTAGCATCCAATAATCGAAATTCTAATTGATATTCCAGAAACTTAAAAGATTTTGGTCCGTTGCCCTTTGACGGACGGCAGCGTTGCGATGACTTTTCCAAAATTATTATTTCAAACTGGTGACAAAAGGAAATTTTCATTAATTTAATCGATTTTTGTTTATTCCATTTCATATGTCAATAAAAGATAAAGATTAATTTATAGTATATATTATATCGTTCTTCTTCTTTTATTTAGGAGCCATCAAGATATCCAAGCGGTTGAGTCCCAATATTTGTATATTCAAATATTCATTTTTTCTTATTTTATCAGTAATCCTTTTATTCATTTCCTCTGTTTTTATCTTTTACTCTCTTTGATTCAATCGAATTTTGTTTTTTCTATCTGTATATTGGATAGGGTGGCTTAGTGGGTTGTTGCTCAATTTGGAGGGCCGATACTAAAGTTCTATTCCCCGCAGGGGTAAACCTGCCCAAAAATCCGGATGATGCTGGCTCACTCTCTGGCATAGTTGTCCAATGCGACAAGTCAGCGAAGCGAGTTTAACCGGTAATGATGAAAACTCTCAAAAAAAAATCCACATATTAATATGGTTTAATTACCCAAGTTTGAGGATGAGAATAAAAACTTTTTTAATACGTGCGGTGATCAATGCAATTTAATATTACTGTCCAGAACATGGTTTTCTAAAATATTAAAGCGTGGTAGGCGAGCATAATTCCACTGTCTTTAATTATTAATCCATTTTACACTATTGAAACATTTTGCATGCGTATTTAAAAAACCATTTTTTTCCAAATTCTGGCCTTTCGACAAAACATTTTTCATGGTGGTATCATGTAGTCAATGCTTATTTAAAAAATTTACAAGAATTTGTTCCGCAAATGCTCATTTGGAACGCGTTAGTTGTGCACCCATTTGCATTTTGATAAGATGTTCCCCATAAGCAATGCCAGGCATTTCAGTGTATGCTGCTCTTGCCTTATAATCTGAGAATCTTTATCTTTTTTTTAAAAAAATATATAATTGTGACCGAAATTCTTGAAAAATTAATTGTTGATTGGTCCAATTGGATTCGCTCACATTTAACGAAACTCCTCTTTTCGCTGAAGTATTTGAAGATTTCGATTGACGCTACCATTTTATCCGAGATTTGGTGTTTTTGATCTTTTGAAACATCGGGTTTCATTGAATTTTTTCAAATTGCTTTTACAGCAGAATTTACATATTTGCATTGACTTTGAATGTAAAGCAATGACCTTCTGGGAAGCGAATTGTTCGCAAGCGAATAATTTCACTTTATTCAGAAACAATGCTTGTGCGTTTGTAAATGTGATAATATAATAGAAAAAATTTTCGTACATTGTTTAATTAATAAAAAATCCGTGGAAAAATTTTATGTGGGAAGAACATTCTTCACATATTCCTTGATATTTCTTAGAAAAATCTGGCTCTTATCTCTCCTTCATGATCGATTTCAAATGCATTGATTTGACTCACCAAATCCCCATAATTCCCGCTCCTCAAATGCTCGGGCGTATCAGTGTCATTATGGCGCTGCTGGAAATGCGCGGTGAGATTTGATAGCTCAGTATATCACAACGGAATGGGAGAGAATCATATGAAGTATCATATTTATATGTTTGTTAAAGCTGGAGGGAGCTAAAAAAATTGAAATAATGGATTATGGCTGAGAAATACGTGGCATGTTCGGAAGGATTTGGAAACATATTCCACAAATATATTAGCGAACATAAATGTATATTAAAAAATTTCTATACAGCGCTTACAGATTACTAATTTTAATCGGAATTTAATAATGCTTGGCAAAAAGGTTTGGCGGAGCTACAATGGCCTTCAGAGAAATGTTATGGAAAAATTGCAACCATTCAATATGCTGTTGATATGCTGGAGATTTGATAATGGAAATAATAATGGAAGAGGTCTTAAGAGGGTATAGAGAGGTGATTTATTTTTATATGTAAAACTATATATATATATATATATAATACTTTTCAAGAATTGATTAACAGGAAATGTGGAAATAACGTGTTATAAATTTAAAAATGTTGTGATTGAGTATTGTAGAGAATGGAATGATATTTATAAATGAAACGAACGAGGGTTAAAGGAGGCTGCTATAGGGCGCAATAATGTAAAGAAGAGTTTGGAATAAAAGGCTATAATGATGAAAAAATATGATGGGGTGTGAGAAACATGCTAATGGAATATGGTAATAGTTCCGATGAGTTGACAGGTTTTCGAAGATGATACTTCACTCCATGTTGTTCTCATGCTATTCTTCGTAATTTTATAATTTATGGCTATTACATTAGTAAATGAGGGTTAATAGTTTTATGTGGCTCAATCTGAGACGACTAGAAGGAAGAAGGTAAAATAACACCGCTAAATGAAGTAGAAAATTACAACGGCTATTAAAGAGAGTTGATATTTCACCAAAGACCTTTGGTATTGCAATATGATTACCACATCGAGATTAACGTAATATAAAAATTCCGCGAAAATATTGCATTTCAATAGGGCATTAAAAAATGTAAAGAATTTTTGAGAGGATTATAGCAGATTCCGATTACAAAAATATGCACGATTTTATCAATTAAAAATAATCGTGGCAATTATCAACATTGGGATGAAAACTTTCTTCTTTCGCCAACTTACTCTGCTTTGGTTAGATTTACTTATTATTAAGGCAGAACCTTTCCGCCAGAGAATCAGTGGTGATGGGCGGTATAGGTGAATTCGCAACGGCCAATTTTATACTTAAATTTTACCTTTAATGATAAATTTATGGTTATCAAAAGATAAAAATCAAATCCATGTTGTTTCATTCTCAACGAAAGCATTAACTCATTCACTGTATTAATTTTTGTATTAATTATCATGCAGATTCAACGAGCCAAAATTCTTATCAATAGTTTAAATTTGTAGTTAAAGATTAATGATTATTGATAATTACTTCATTAATATAGAACGATATATAGATCATGCAGAATGACTAGTTTCGGATGAATTTATGATTAATTATTTTCAATCATTAGCTTCTCTAGGTATGAAGTTAAACACCGTATCCACAATACTGTTTGCTGCTTTATGTAGTTGGTCTACTGAAAGTTTCGGTAATTGTGGTTGCTGCGGTTTTTCGATTTCAGGAGGATTCTCATTTTCCTGTAAAAATTTAAAAATTTTTTATGAACATGAATTAGATTTTGTCTCAATGGAATCAGTAAAAGTGTCGAAATAAAAATTTTTTGAATAAATTTTTGTAAATATGCATACTTAATACTTAATACTTAATAAATCTTAATATTTAGTTATACCGCAGCTCCGTCAATGAATTGCATTATTAGAATTAAGAAACATGTAGCGAAAATGCTTTTCATATCGAAATAAGCCTATAAAATAAAAATTAAATAAAATCTGATCCATCAAAATTCCACTTTTTTGTCATTTATTTATCGAAAAAATTAGTTAAAAAGTCCTTAGAATTGTCGACTCATATCATTCCTCTAGGAAGTTCTAAAGCATAATTCTAGTTGGAAATTATAATTGAAAATTGCTAAATATTTAGGTTCAATTTTTTGGTACCTCTCTTATAATTTAACGCTAAATTTCAGTCTATCGAAACCAATTAAAGAAGAAATTTGTTGAAAAATTGCAAAAATATTGAAATATTTATAGGGAAATTTACAGTCGATATTAATCGAATAATTTTATTCATGAACACGTTCAAATAAAAGATTCTTATAAAATCTATTTAATAAATTCAATAAATTCATATAAAAAGTTCCTAAGAAAAATTAACAACTAAAAAATTTTTGCACAGTTTAAAATTTCATTTTACACTTTGAGAAATGAGGTTTCTTAAAATTTGTAATTAATTAAAGCACTGATTCCGTGGTCTTACTCTGGTAGAAACAGATCTGCTTTTCAACCTGAATGAATGATGATACGGCTCACCTGTACTTCTATCAACAAATGATTTCTTAACCAAATTTGTCGAGTTCAAGCCAATAGAGCGAGCTGAATGAGGGGATAGAGCGAGCTGAATGAGGGGCTGACGAGTGCTATTAGAAAAGTTACGGTTATATTTCTTGTATGAAAATCAGCTGATTATTGATGTACTCGTCATAAAGATTTGTCCTAAAATTCTCTTTTATTTATCTTATCTTTTAGTGGGTATATTTTAATTTGCAAAATATTCATGATATTTTTGGAATTTTTGGAATTTAGGGGAAATCGAATTTAAGAGAAGGGAAATTTAAGGTAAAGTGAGTTACTTTTTTTTGAATTTTATATTGAGATCTTTGATTTTCTTTGCAATCAATTTGCAATTTTGATAAACAGTAAATATATTTTTAAAAAAACAATCAATTATTGCAGATATCGCATTTTAATGATCGCCGTGAAAGTAAAAAGACTCTGTGAAACATGGATTCGATGCAGCAATTTGCCTTATCAACTGTCAAACGTTCAATGAAGAATCATTTAGGAAGAAGTTGAACATTCATCTTTGAATCCGCATCGATGATATAATGGACAAGAGTAGTCAAAGGACAAGCATTACAGATGGCACTCAAAGAATAAAAGAACAGCACATATGAGCAGTACAGAGGCGGGTCGACCTCGAAAGTAAATTTTGCGTTCGCCTTTTAAGGATATTGCATATACCATTCTGATGAAAGCCTAGTGTTAGCCGAGCTTTTCTTAACGCATTATTGAAATTTCAGTCCCGGCACGAGTAGAACAATCTTCTAAAAATCTGGATGTTGCATGCGAAACACCATACTTTTATTGTCAAGTGATTCACTGGCACAGTTTATTTGATCCGGCAAAACCAGCGGAGCAATTCGAACCAAGTAGATTATGTCGTATTTTTTAAAATGATATGAGATGATATGATATGGAAATGATATGATATGAAATGATATGAGATCAAAGTTTAATTTATTTTCGTATAATTTAATTTATCCTATCTTAACGTTATAATTTATTTTATTTTTATATTATCACCATAATGTTTTAATTTAATTTACAACTAAATTTCATTTGCAATTTTATTTTTGGCTTCTAAATTATTATTTCCACTTGCATTAAATGAATAATTAATTCAAATTTTTTACTGGATTCTCTCTCCTTTTAATAATTTTTAATTATTACTTTACTTACTTTTAGTAAGATAAAATGCACCAGAATTAAACGAATTGTTTAAAACGGCCTATGAAGCGAAAATATTATGAAAATATTTCGGAGTTTTACTCTCAAATTCTTTCAGAATTTTTAAAAAAGACACATATTTTGACGTATTTTTTGTAATTGCTAATTTTCATAAATTTAATGAAAATTTTTTTAAAATTTGGTATTGTAATTCATTTGATATATAATTTAACTTAATTTTAATTTAACTTAATTTTAATATTCGCTACGATGCACTGTAAAAGTTGCATTCAATGATTTAACCTTCTTCCAGCCAATGCACTTTTTGGTCAATATTCACCAGTTCTTCTGCGTAACGCATTTTCTTCTGCTCTCGGAAGCATTTCGCAAAATTTCAAAGTAATCCAACGGCCAGAGTACTTTCTCACCAAATGAGAATTTCGGTCGATTCGGACGACTCCTATTTTGTAAATCAAATACCTAGAAAATATATAACGATGAATTAAATGGAGATTTGATAGAACCAAAGGCTGAAAATTTCACGATAATTTTTTTCATTAACTGAGAATATCCTTTCGATGGAAATATGATGACTCTTTTCTTCGCTATCTCCGAGTGCGCAAACAACTACTTGAAATTGTTGGTGTACTATATATGTATCAGAAATAAAATCATAGAAAGGCTCTTGCTGCCTGCTTTCAATTGGCAGAGTAAAAAGATCACAAAGCACAGAAAAAGATACCTAGTAATCCAAAGTTCACCATGCAGCAATTAACTGATCAATTAATTGATAAGTGCATCATAATCATTTGTTTATATACTATTTATATACAATAGATTATTGGTATATATACTATACTATTTGCGAAATTCGATTTCTTTTCTAAAATTATTAGTCCAAACTGGTGACCTCGATCCACCAAAAGAAAAAAAACTTTCATTAAATTATTCGATTTTTTGTTTATTCTATTACAATAAAAGATAAAGGTCAATTTATAGTATATATAGTATATTCTTCTCAAGAAAGTCGTTTTTCTTCTCTTATTTAGGTGCCATTAAGGGATTCAAGTGGTTGGATCCCAATATTTGTGAATACTATTCAAATATTATTCATTTTTTCTTATTTCATACCTTATCCTTTTATTTATTTCCTTTGTTTTTGCCTTTTAGTCTCTCTGATGTAATCAAATTTTGTTTTTTTATTTTATATTTTTATATTATATTATTTTTTATATTATTTTTTTTAATCTGTATATTAATGTGGTTTAACTACTCAAGTTTAAGGTGAAGAAAAAAATTTTAATACATACGGTGATCAGTGTTTATTTTGCTGTCATGATAAACCAGCCTGATCAAGGTTATTGTAAAGTAAATAACACGTTGCAGGCGAACAACATTATCAATCTATTTTTGCATGGTGCGCCGATCTCCATAATCACAGTAGCTATTGGTATTTTGGATTCGACAACCGTCAAAAAGAGGAGTTTTTAATTTTTTTAAATAAAATTAATTAGGAGGATAAATCAATAGCCCAAATCAACTTTATCACTGCCGACTGGTTTTCAATTTTGGAACCTTTCAAGCATTTACCTCTAACGGCAAATTCAATCAATTCCAATCAATGGCAAATATAGCACTTTCTTCTGCAATGCTTGATTGTTATTATTTAACGTTTTAAAACCTGTTGAATCAAATCTTTATATTGAATTTATTTACGTCATAATTTTTATTCGTTGCATTAATTGTGATTCTTGTGGTTCACATATTATTTCAAAATTTCTATTCCCATAAAATGACAT